TGTCTTTCTCTGTCAGACTTGTTTCACGCAGCATAATGCCCTCAAGGGCCCTCCTTTCTTGTGGCTGAATCATATTCCATGGTGTCTCTAGACCGCATTTATTTGCTGCATCATCCAAAGACAGACACTTAGGCTGCTTCCACATCTTGGCTTTCGTAAATAATGCTGCAGCGAACATGGGAGCGCACATATCTCTTTGAGATCCTGATTTTATTTCCTTTGGATATGTACCCAGAAGTGGAATTCCTGGATAATATGGTAGTTCTGTTTTTTATCTGTAAGATCCTCCGTGCTGTTTTCCAGAGTGGCTGCACCAGGTTGCATTCCCACCGACAGTGGAGGAGGGTTCCCGTTGCTCCGCATCCCGCCATTATCTCATATTTTCACTGATTATCTCGTGTCTTTTTGATAACAGCCACTGACAGGTGTGAGGTGACATCTCATTGTGGTTTTGATTTGTATTTCCTCGATGATGAGTGATGCTGAGCATCTTTTCCTGTGTCTGGTTGGCCATCTGGGTGTCTTCTTTGGGAAAATGTCTGTTCAGTTCCTCTGCGCATTTTTTAATCAGATTGTTTCTTTGCTCTTGAGTTGTAGGAGTTCCTTATATATTTTGGATATTAACTCCCTTTGAGACAGATGGTTTACAAATATTTTCTCCCGTTCTATAAGTTGCCTTTTCATTGTGTTGACTGTCTCCTCTGCTGTGCAGAGTTTGGCAGTTGATGTCATTCCCACTTACTTGTTTTTTCTTTTGTTGCTTGTGCTTTTGGTGTCACATCCAAAATATCACTGCTAATGTCTTAGAGCTTTTTCCTATGTTTTCTTCTAGGAGAGTTATGGTTTGGGGTCTTATGTTAAGTCTTTTGTCCATTTTGAGTTAATTTTTGTAAGTGGTGTAAGATAGTCCAATTTCATTCTTTTCCAGGTTTCCCAACACCATTTATTGAAGAGACTGTCCTTTCCTCATTGAGTATTACTGGCTCCTTTGTCAAATATCGGTTGATTGTATAGACATTAGTTTATTTCTGGGCTCTCAATTCTGTTCCGTTGGTCTATGTGTCTGTTTTTATTCTAGTACCATCTCTTCACATTATTATAGCTTTGAAATAGTTTGAAATCAGGATGTGTGGTGCCTCCTGCTTTGTTCTTCTTTCTCAGGATTGCTTTGGCTATTTAGGGGTCTTTTGTGGTTCCATATGAATTTTAGGATTGTTCTCTCTATTCCTGTGAAAAATGCCACAGGAATTTTGATAGGGATTGCATTCAATCTAGAGGTGACTTTGGGTGGTATGGACATTGTAACAACACTAATTCTTTTTTTTTAATAATTTTTTATTGTTATGTTAATCACCATACATTACATCATTAGCTTTTGATGTAGTGTTCCATGATTCATTGTTTGTGCATAACACCCAGTGCTCCACGCAGAACGTGCCCTCTTTAATACCATCACCAGGATAACCCATCCCCCCACCCCCCTCCCCTCTAGAACCCTCAGTTTGTTTTTCAGAGTCCATCGTCTCTCATGGTTCGTCTCCCCCTCTGACTTACTCCCCTTCATTCTTCCCCTCCTGCTATCTTCTTCTTTTTCTTTTTTCTTAACATATGTTGCATGATTTGTTTCAGAAGTACAGATCTGTGATTCAACAGTCTTGCACAATTCACAGCGCTCACCATAGCACATACCCTCCCCAATGTCTGTCACCCAGCCACCCCATCCCTCCCACCCCCACCACTCCAGCAACCCTCAGTTTGTTTCCTGAGATTAAGAATTCCTCATATCAGTGAGGTCATAGGATACATGTCTTTCTCTGATTGACTTATTTCACTCAGCATAACACCCTCCAGTTCCATCCACGTCGTTGCAAATGGCAAGATCTCATTCCTTTTGATGGCTGCATAATATTCCATTGTGTATATATACCACTGCTTCTTTATCCATTCATCTGTCGATGGACATCTTGGCTCTTTCCACAGTTTGGCTATTGTGGACATTGCTGCTATAAACATCAGGGTGCACGTACCCCTTCGGGTCCCTACATTTGTATCTTTGGGGTAAATACCCAGTAGTGCAATTGCTGGATCGTATGGTAGCTCTATTTTCAACTGTTTGAGGAACCTCCATACTGTTTTCCAGAGTGGCTGCACCAGCTTGCATTCCCACCAACAGTGTAGGAGGGCTCCCCTTTCTCCGCATCCCCGCCAACATCTGTCGTTTCCTGACTTGTTAATTTTAGCCATTCTGACAGGTGTGAGGTGGTATCCCATTGAGGTTTCGATTTGGATTTCCCTGATGCCGAGCGATGTTGAGCACTTTTTCATGTGTCTGTTGGCCATTTGGATGTCTTCTTTGGAAAAATGTCTACAACACTAATTCTTCCAGTCCATGAGCACGGGATATCTTCCCATGTATTTGTGTCTTCCTTAATTTCTTTCACCAGAGTCTTAAACTTTTCAATGTACAAAACTTCACTTCCTTGGTTACATTTATTCCTAATTATATTTTTTGTTTTTGATACTATTGTAAATGGGATTGTTTTCTTTACTTATTTTTCCTATATTTCATTGTTAGGGTACAGAAAGATAGCTGACTTCTTCATATTGCCCTTATGTCCTGCAACTTTACTGAATTTATTGATTGGTTCTAACAGAGTTTTGGTAGAGTCATTAGGATTTTCTATATGTAAGACCATATTTTCTGCAGATAGAGACAATTTTACTTCTTCCCTTCTGATGTGGATGTATTTTATTTCTTTTTCTTGCTTGATTGCTCTGGCTGGGACTTTCAGTGCTGTGTTGGATAGGAGAGGGGACAGTGGGCACCCCTGTCTCATTCTGATCTTAGAGGAAAAGTTCTCACCTGGTCACCATTGAGTGTTATGTTGGCTGGAGGCTTGTCATATGTGGCCTTTGTTATGTTGAGATGTATTCCTTCTATACCCAATCTCTTGAGAGTTTTTATCATGAAAGATGTTGAATTTTGTCCAGTGCTTTTTCTGCATCTCTTGAGATGATTATATGATTTTTGTCCTTCATTCTACTAATGTAGTCATCACGTTGACTGATTTGCTGTTGTTGGATCACCCTTGCATCCCAGGGATAAATCCCACTTGACCATGGTGTATGATCCTTTTGATGTGATGTTAAATTCAGTTTGCTAATGTTTTATTGAGAACTTTTACATCTGTGATCATCAGGGATATTGCTCTATAGTTTTCTTTTGGTTCCTTACCTAACTTTGGTATCAGGGTAATGCTAGGCTCACTAAATGAGTTCGCAAATGTTCCCTCCTCTTCAATTTTCTGGAAAGATTTAAGAAGGATTAGTATAAATTCTTTAAATGTTTGGTAGAATTCACTAGAGAAACCATCTGGTCCTCGGCTTTTCTTTGTTGCGAGGTCTTTGATTACTGATTCAGTCTCCTTACTATTCATGGTCTGTTCAGATTTTCTACTTCTTCATGATTCAGTCTTGATAGGTTGTATGTTTCTAGGAATTTACCCATTTTTTTCTAGGTTATCCAATTTGTTGGTGTGCAATTATCCTTATTAGTCTCTTAAGAGCCTGTGTATTTCTGTGGTGTTACTTGTAATGTCTCCTCTTTCACGTCTGAGTCTATTAATTTGAGTCCTTTTTTCATGGCTAGTCCAGCAGTAGGGTCCACAGCCAGGACAGAAGTCTGTCTGCCTGTTACCTGACACACAGGTGGGCGAGACTCCCACCAGGTCCCTTGACATGAGGCACTGGCTCCCACAGCCCCCACGGAGGTGCTCTTGGCTGTGGGTGGAGGTTGAATTGCTGTTGAGGGTCAGGTTCCGGGGACATCCTGTTGGCCCATCTTGGTGACTTCCTAAGTATTTTATTTTGAAGGAGTTGATCCTTCCCAAATTCTGCAGTGTCAATGCAATTACAATAAAATTGCAACCATTTTTGGTTTGTTTTGTGAATGGGAATGAGAGAACTTATATTTGTTTTTTAAAACCTGATAAATGTGAAAATGATCCAACTTTTTGAGGGAAAAAAAGGGACAACTTGTCCTTGGGATATGAAAATACACTCTGACGCTACTATAATTAAAATAGCACAGTCTGGACAGGACAGACACATGGGCCAGCATTAGAGGAGGCGAGGCCAGCTGGAACCCAGGGTCCCAGGGGAGCCAGCAGGATGGGCAGCAGCAGAGAGTGGAACCTTTTCTAAATGCTGCTGGGGGTTGCTCTCCACTACGAGGGAAACAAACCGAGATCCCTACAGATTGCCAGCATGCTGACAAATTTCAAATGGATTAGAGCTGGCTGTGTAAAAATTATAAAAATATTGGAGGAAACAAAAGCAAGCTGTTTTTATCATCTTGGGGTAGGGAAGTTCCTCCTAAAAGGAGCTAAAGAAAAAAATATCTGATTTCACAAAGTAAACATGAGAATTTTTGAATGTCAAAAGATGCATGAACTACGTCAAAAGCTAAGTGACAAATGGAAAGAACATATGTGTGGCACACAGACCGGCAGTCAGATCCTCAGTATGCCAGGGGTGCACCCCAAACAGGAAAGAGCGTGGTGATGTTGCAAAGCCCATGAATGGGCATAAAGAGGAAAAGTTAGAACCGTGAATAGCAATGAACAGATGCTCAGTCTCATTCATAATTAGAGAAATGCAGATTTAAAAAGAGAAGACTGCCCTTCAGAGACACGGCCGCCATCACAGGTGGGGATCCTAGCATCTGCACACCCTGGGTCAGGGCTGGGGTGAGCCGGAAGCCAGGGGGGAGGGCACTGGTCAGTGCAGAAAGGCCAGTGCAGACCTCCCACCCACAAGCATGGGGCCCCTGCCTTAGTGTAAGCACAGTCACCGTGCTGGGGGAGGCACTGCCTTGGCTGCCCCAGCACAGACTGTCAAGAGCAGGGGTCCCCAAAAACACGTGTTCCTGGCCAGAGGAGCAGAGACCGTGTGGAGAGAAGCCGTGCTCCAGGGCACTGACAGTCTTTTGGGTGCCACAGGCTCACATCTACTCTCTGGGGGCCACGCTAAAGGCAGCCCTTGAGTACGTGACTGAGCCCGAGCCGGAGCCCAGGCTGAGCCAAGACCTGGAGGCGCTGCTGAGCCAGATGCAGGCAGAAGACCCTAGGGACCGGCCTGACCTCGAGGTACAAAGTCACCCCCAAGGCAAAGACCTGAGACCCTCCCCACAGCCCCAGTGCCCTGGGCGCGCGCGCACGCACGCACACACACACACACACAAACACACAGGACCCTCCTGCCCAACAGCTCTCCCCTCGGTCCCATGGGCTCTTCTTCACCTGGGATTTGGTGGCATTGCATTTTGCTTAAATAAGAACTTGACCTTTCATTATACATTGTTATGATGAAGAGGTTTGGCTTATAATTCTCATGGACTGAACAGAATCGCCTGGTTTTCTGTAATTGCAGGATACATTGCTTTTTTATGCCAGAAAATAGACATGGAGGGGGGTGGGCTCTCAGAGGGCAGGGCTTCCTCCATGGTGAGCTTTCCCATCTGAGCTGCTCACACGTGTGTCTACAGAGCATCATAGCATTGTGTGAAGAGAAGATGCTCTTCACGTCCTCCTGCCGTCTGTGCCGGAGCCTCTCGGCCATCGGGAGGAGGGTGCTCTCCATTGAGTCCTTTGGAGCATTTCAAGGTAAGCACGTGCACACGTGTGTGCTTGCACACATGCATGCACACACAGATAGTCACACACACATATACACATGTATGCACGTACCCACTCACGTGTGCATGTGAATGTACACAAACTTTAGGACAGATCAGACACACACATGTTCACGCCATTGTACTCACCGTGTAAACACCCACACTCACATGCACACGTGTGCAAACAGATCACGTGTGCCCCCACAGGCACGCATGTGTTTATACTAACTTGCTCATAGTCACAGAAGCATACATGAAAATGCAAGGTCATACACACCTACTTGTACACATGCACACTCATCACATGCATGCACACTTGTGCACAAACATAGCACTGTCCTGCACATACAAACCCATTTTGCAGCCATGCACAGACTGACACATTCACCCTCACTCTCAAGTCACCTTGCACACACTTTGCAGACACCTGGGCCACTGGGGGTGTTGGGAAGTGAGAAGTCTTAGACCTCTGGTCTCTGTCCGGGTCTGTGAGCAGGTCGGTGCATGGACATGGGGACACTGCGCAGTTCATTTCTGTTTGCTGACACCACGTGGTGTCTGGCAGGCCTATTCTTTCTCTGCCGGAGAAGCTGTTGCTGAAGCATCTGGGATTTTCCCGGCTCGCGTGGGACTCTGGCGTGGTCTCAGGTCACATTTTGAGCAAATGTGAGCATCTGCTCTGCACTGTGCCTGCAGCAAGGAGCCCGGAGGGCCCTCAGGGGCGGCCCGCATGAGCCTCTTATGGCAGCAGGGCCCGCCGGCACACCACGCCGGGGACCACAGGCCTGAGGCTCGGCTCCCGCCGTGCAGCAGAGAGCGATCACCGCAGGAGGGGCTGCAGGCCACAAGGAGGGGCCTCCACGGAGACCACAGACACCTGTGTGCGAGATTGTGCGCCAGGACGTGGCGGGAGGGACAGCCAGACTCAGTGTCTTCCTTCGGGGACATCATCTGTGTACTTGTACTAGAAAGCAAAGGCTCTTTGGACAAGCTGCTTGGATGACCTTAGGAAGACTCCGAGGGGGCCCGTGCAGGCTGTGGAGGGGGCCCAGGAGCCTTTGAAGCCTCAGTAGTTAGAATCAGCCGGGTTATGCGATAAAGGAGGCAGATGAAGATGGTTCTGGGCCGACACCGGGGGGAGGAGAAGGGGACCGAGGAGCGCAGGAGAGGTGCCCGCATCCCCTCTGCTGACGGGTGGGGTTGCTAGGGATGCCCACCCCGGGCTCAGTTCCCTGGCCACTGCCCCTGCAGCAATCACCCTGCTTTTGCCCAGATGTCACCGAGAGCGGCTGGAGCGGGAGACCTACTGCAGGAAGCGCAGGGCCCAGGAAACAGCCGGGGGGCCACGCCGCAGACCCAGAGGGCCTGCCGCAGCACCCTGCCCGTGAAGCCCGTGGCAGCCCGGAGCAGCCTGCTACCCTGTCCTCCAAGCCCCTGCTGTCAGCCCCTGTGAGAAATGGAGAGCGGCTGGCCAGCCTCATCCTGGACACCCAGCGCCCCCTGGGTGAGCTGGAGAGGAGCCGCCTGAGGAAGGTGCAGACGTTCCCCAGGCTCCTGCCCGACGGCGCTGAGGCCGGCACCCTCTGCCTGACGCTGACCCCCACCAAAAACCAGCCACCCAGATCTGAAGTCTTCCCTCCAGACCCCAGGAAGGCCTTTCTAGATGGGAAAAATGGCCTTTCCAGCTACAAGTCACAGCCCAAGTCCAGACTGTGGCCAGAGCGGGAGCCCGAGCTCCAGCAGGGAGGACCTGGAGACACCAGCCGAAGCGGGGACAGGGTATCTGGGGCACTGGGCTGGAGCCCTGTGGAGGAAAGCGCCCCATCTCGCTCCGAGGACCCCAGAGATGCCGGCCCAGAGCCTGGGACTTCCAGTGCTGATGAGGGGACTCCCGACAGAGCTGGGGAGCCGGCTAGCACAGCAGGAGAGCAGGTGGGTGATTGCAGTTTCCATCCCACGTGGCCAGGAAGGGGCCCTGCACACGCACACACAGTCCTGTCTGTGGTCTCACACGCAGTGCTGGTGGTTTACTGCAAGGAAGGGAGTCTCAGCCTTCACTCCTACTCAGTAATTGACAAGTTTTAAGCAAGCTGCCTGTTTCTGAAGGAAGCTGTGAGTACAGCTGCGGCCCCAGGTGTGGCCCCAGGCCAGAGCCTCTCCTGCAGCCTCCCTGGAGGTGGGGCATCCCAGAGAGCACCTCCACACACCCAGGCCTCTCCTGGCCTCACCGGCATGTAGCACCCCACGCATTCACCGAAGGAGGCACACCCCTGCTTCGGGGTTAATGTTCTTGCCAAACGATGCTGCGTGCAGGGAGCAGTCTTCCCAGGAGGAGGCCCGGCAGCCCCAGGCCAGCAGGGTTACCTCTGCGGCTCTGTTCCCCAGCCATCGTGCTCAGGGGCTGCAGCGTCTTCTTCTGCTGATGATTTTAAAGGTCAAGAACTGGGGCACCTTAGTGGCACAGTTGGTTGAGCATCTGACTCTTGATCTGAGCTCAGGTCTTGGTCTCAAGGTCGTCAGTTCAGTCTCCGCACTGGGCTTCACGCTGGACGTGATGCCTGCTCCAAGCTGAGCAGGGAGCCTGACGCGGGGCTCGATCTCATGACCCTGGGATCGTGACCTGAGCCGAAATCAGGAGTCGGACGCTTGACCGACTGCACCACCCAGACATCCCAAAACTCTAATTACTTTAAAACAAATGTCTATCCTGAAGAGCCCAGTGCACACACATGTGTCTCCACCTCAGCTCACATGGTCTCCACTGGCCTCCTGGATCCATACTGGCTTGTGCGTAGAGAGGTCCCAGCCACTGAGGCAGGAAAACCTCACACACCCCAGCCCTGGACTGGGCTCACCTTCCCATGCCCAACAGCCTCACAACAGCCCACTTTCCAGATGGGTAAACTGAGGCATGGAGTGGCTGTGCACTGTTGGAGGGTGGGCAGCCACTGAGGGGCAGAGCTGACCTGGAGCCCAGCTACTTAACCACCAGGCTCCCCTGCCCCAGAGGCCTCATGGGGCCAGGGCCCACCCAGAGCCCCCCCACCCCAGGCACAGCCTGTTGGGGATCAGGTCCCCCAGGCCTCTGCTGCAGAGCATGTCCTGGTTTCAAAGCAGGCTGCTCCAACCCCACATGTAGCAGGAGGCTTGGGGACGGCTGGATCATGGGCCTCCAGCCAGGCTTGCTGCACCCCAGGCGTGAGGGGGGTCAAGGTGGAGACAGTGCCTTGGGAACCTTCCCTAAAGCATGCACTTGTATTCCCAAGTGTGATGGCTGTGGTCCTAGCTCTTCCCGTGGCCTTTAAGTGGAGAACTACCTTCCAGCGGAGCGCGTTTTTCTGACTCTGGGAAAGTTCTGTGTGTGGCGGTGAGGGTGAGGTAGAGTAAAATACACATCACATAAAATGAGCCCTCCCCCACCAAGCACCCAGCTCAGCGGCGTCCAGCACATTCACCGTGTTGTGCAGCCAGCCCCACCCTCCAGCCCCGCGACTCTCATCCTCCCAGAGACGGAAGCTCGGTCCCCATCCCCTCCCCCGCCCTGGCGTCCACCATCTCGTCTCCGTCTCTGACGGTGCCGGCCCCGGGGACCTCACGAAGGTGGGGCACGCGGTGCTGGTCCTTCCGTGTCTGGCTTCTTTCACTCGGCCTCAGGCCCTCAGGCTCAGCCCAGAGGCGGGTCGCCCGATCATATGGTGATTCTCTGTTGAATTCCTGAGGAGCCTCCATGCTGCTATCCCCACATTTCTGCCAGGTGCACTGGGTTCTGGTTCCTTCCCGCCCCCCCAGCCCATCGTGGCCACGTGAGGACTTTGCCAGCCCACATCCGCAGGAGTGTGCTGTGCGGGAGGCACATCCCACCCTTATTTGAAGTGGTTCCCGCCCTGTCACCTTCCCAGTGGGCTGGGCTGAGCTGACCCCAGGGACCATTCTCACTAGGATGTGACTTCTGCCTCCAGGGCGTCTCCCTGCAGGAGCTCCTGTACCAGCTGGGCCGGCCCTTCAAGGAGTATGAGCTCTGGGCTCTGTCCCACGCGTGTCTCACTGCTCTGCGCGCTCACAGCGAGCACCCAGGTGATGCTTTGTCCTGAAGTTCCATGTTCAGCCTGCCCCCCCCCCCACCGTGTGTTCCAGGGCCAGGACCAACAGCCTCACGTGGCCTCCATCAGGCGCATGTGGGCCACGGGGACAGCCTGGGGCCAGGTGGCTGGGTCCCCACTGTGGGCGCCTGTGCCCTGGAGGTGTCTGCTCTGGTCTCAGGACCACAAGGGTCTGGGGGCAGCAGTGAGGGCAGGTGTTTGGAATGTGGGCCTTGAGGCAGACAACCCTGCTGTAGAGTGAAGTGGGAGCTGTGTGGATGGCCCACATCCCCTCAACGGGGATGACATCGTACCCAAGGAGGCAAAAGTGGCCGGGGGAGGATGGGATTTTAGATACTGCCCTGGTTTGCAGCTCCCTGGACAGCGTGACAGGCCCACAGCCCCTTGATGTGAGCACGTCCTGGGGAGGACGATGAGGAGACATGCTGCCATCTGACTGCCCCCACATGCCTTTGGGGCGCAGCCTCCTCTGGGACCCCTCAGAGGGGCAGCTCTCGGTGCTGGGCCGTGACCTCCATGCCCCTTCCTCTTCCTTCGTCTCCTTTCCATTTCCAGCGTGTTGTGTGTCGCGGAGGGCCCCCCCCCCGGCCCTGTCCACCTGGCACCGCGCCAGGGCCTCTGAGAAGGAGAAGGCGCCGACTGGCCCCTGGCCCCTGGGCTTTGCTCCCTGGGGGTCTGTGGGCTGAGGGGAGGGGCTGCCCAACGCTGTAATTCCTGGGAGAAGAGGGTACCCCAGCGAGTCCCCCTGCCCTGACCCTCATCTTCCTTTGCAGCCTACCTGTGCCTGGACTCTGTGCTGGTGGCCGAGGACGGGGCCGTGCTCTTCAGCCCACCCCCTGCCAATGGTGCGTACATGGAGTCACCCTTAGGAGCTGTGCTCTAGCACGGACACCCAAGGCTGAAAAGAGAACTCAGAACTCGGGCTTTTCTCTCTTAGGCACTTACGACACATTTTTTCTGGCTCCTGAGGTTGCAGAGCAAGAACTGCTGACTGAGAAGGTAACTGGCCCTCCCCATCCCTTCCTGCAGCTTCCTGCCCCCACACCCCCAGTGGGGCCCCCGCTTCTGCCCCGAGAGCCTGGGAGTGGGGAGAGGGGCAGAGTACCCTCCAGCAGAGCAGTGGTCACATCCAGGGCCCTGGCTCTCCTGGCCTGGGCAGCAACCCCCTAGCAGGTGCCTCCCCAGGAGGTGGCAGGGGCTTGGCTCTGGTGGTATCATCCCAAGATGGGTGGGACTTCTGCATGGACAGCTCTGGGCACACATGCCGGCTTGGGAGAGTCCAGGGCTAAACTTTCAAGAATATTTACAAGGCACTTGTTAAACACAGCCATTATTAAAAATTAAATTGTCCAAACTTCTGGGGTGCCTAGCTGCCTCAGTCAGAGCGTGCAACTCTTGATCTCAGGGTCCTGAGTTCAAGCGCCACACTGGGCATAGAGCTTACTTTAAAAAATAATAATAAAATAAAATAAAATTGCACGAACTTAAAATTAGGTAAATGATATTCAAAACCGAGGTAGAACTCCACTTCCCTACTTGCCCAACGTACATCTAGAAACCCCACATCCCTAACACAAGAATGAGAAGTCTGAGAGGTAGAGAGCAGAAGGCAGCCTGGCTGGGGCCTCAGGCCGAGGAAGGCACAGTAGCGAGGGCCCTGCTTCCTCCCTCTGCCTCAAAAATGGGGACACAGAAGCCACACTGTCAAGCCAGAAGACATGGTAAGGGAAGCGGTGGGCCCACCCAGGCCAGCAAAGACCCCGCCAGGTGCTGCCAGAGAAGGCTGAGTATCCCCACCAGGATGTAATGAGCACCCCTGCCCATGAGGCCAGTGGGGACCGTGTGGGGAGCCGGGACCCACACCACGCCTCCCCCCGGCAGTAGCAAATGCCCCTCCCAGCCAGGTGTTGTCGGAGGAGGCCTCATGGAGAGCAGCAACCAGGCCACCCCCACCTCCTGCTGGGAACAGAGGCAGGGGAGGAGCAGAAAGGATGCACTCCTACACCCCCAGCCAGAGGCATGTCACAGGAGGCCCAGTGGAGGCCCAGTCTCCCACCCCCTGTCCAGCATGAGGAGGAGCCCCCTCCTCAGATGTCAATTGGAGCCAAATACAGAACTGCATTCTGCCCCCACCTGGCGATAAGGAGACGGCACCCCTCTTCCTGACAGGTTGAACAAGGTCGAGAGTCTGACAACATGGAAATGTCCAGGTCTCAACCAAAAACCACTTGCCATACGAGGAACCAGGAAGATTTCAAACCGAGTGAAAAAAAGACAATCAACAGAGGCCAGTGTTGGCACTGTGGGGCACAGCCAAAGCAGGCCCAAGAGAGAAATTCATAGCACTAGATGCATATGTGAGAAAAGAGCAATACTTAGATTGCTCAGCTCAGCAATCTAAGCCACTGTCTCAAGAACCTACAAAAAGAAGAGCAACGTGGACCCAAAGCAGAAGGAAGTAATGAAGATGGGAGCAGAAATCAGTAAAAATAGAATAACAATAGAGAAAACCAGTAAAGTCAAGAGCTGGTTCTTGGAAAATACCAATAAAATTTTAAAACTTCCAGCAAAACTGACAAAGGAAGCAAGCAAGAAAGAAAGAAAAAAGAAGAAGAAAAAGAAAAAAAGACACAAATTACCAATATCAGGAATGACACAGGGGATATCCCTATAAACCGTTTAGACATCAAATAATGGATGCCACAGACAACTCTTTAAATTTGACAACTTAGGTGAAATGCACCAATTCTTCAGAAAACATGAACTACCACACCTCACCCAATATGAAATAGATCTTTGAATAGCTCTTGACTATTGAGGAAATTGAATTTATAATTTTAAAACTAAAAAACTAAATCTCTTGGTCCAGAGTTTCACTGGAGAGTTCTACTCAATGTTTAAAGAAAAATCAATACCACTTCTACACAATCTTTTACAGAAGACAGAAGAGGAGAGAACACTTCCCAGTCTATTTTATTAAGCCAATATGTATACTGTCAATGTATACTGATAGATAGATGATAGATAGATAGAGGAATATATATACCAACATCCCTCATGAATATAAACACAAAAATCCTTAACAAAATATGCAAATAGAATGCAACAATATATAAAACTATGCACCATGACATAGTGGAAGTTATTCTAAGGATACAAGGCTTGTTTAGTGTTTGAAAATCAATTAGTCCAACATATTAACCAGCTAAAAAAGAAAAACCCCATAATCACATTAATCGATGCAGAAAAACCATTTGGCAAAATTCAACACCCATTCATAATAAAAATTTTTCAGAAAAATACAAATAGAAGAAACTTTCTCAGTTTAATAAAGAGCATCTATGAACACAAACACACACACACACACACACACACACACACACACACACACACACACACACACCCTATAGCTAACATCATACTTAATGAGAAAAGATGATATGCTCTCCCCCAAGATTGGGAACAATGCAAGGGTGTGCACTATCACTACTTCTACTCAACATAGTGCTGGAAGTTCTAGCCACTACAATAATGTAAAAAAAAAAGCAAGTAAAAGGCATAAAGACCAGGAAGAAGAAATAATACTATTTGCAGAAGACATAACTGTCTATGTAGAAAATTCTAAGGAAGCCCCTGGGATTAATAAGTGAGTTCTGAAAGGTCACAGGATATAAGATAAACATTCAAAAATCAACTGTATTCCTGTATGTTAGCAATGAACATGCAGACACCAAAATTTAAAATACAGTGCATTTGCTCTCAGCATTAGCACCATCTTGGAAACCTCCGGGCCATGAACCACATGGTAGAAGAAGCAAACGCACAAGGTGAATTTGAGGCAAAGGTCCAAGTGAAGCGCTCGCTTATGCATCCATGAAGCCGCAGGAGCAGAAACAAGGAAAGCCAGAGGCCAGGGATGCTGTTACAAATTGTTGGACAGCACACCTACTTTCTAGAATTTTCTCAGTGGATCTAAAACATCCATTGCCATCTGATCACAATGACCACTTTTGAGAGACCCACCTGTTCATACCAAAACAGTCCCTTATGGTCCTTTGTCCTGAACCTGTGACTTTCAGGACTGATTCTGTTCTCAGTTGTGGCTGAATGTAATGTGTACAATAAATCATCTCTTCTGTTGTCTTAGCTAAAGAAAAAATTTAAAAATAAATATAAATTTAATTAAAATATAAAATGTAAACTTAATGAAAATGTACAACGACTCAAAAAAAAAATGAAATACTTACATGAAAATCTAAGCAAGCATGCACAAGACTTACCTGCTAAAAACTACAAAATGCTGATGAAAGAAATCAAACAAAATCTCTGGGATAAAGGGCCAGGCAAAGAGTTCTTAGACTTGACACCAAAAGCAGCGTCCATAAATTTTTCCACAAAAGGAAAAGTGGGCAAAATGAACTTCATCAAAATTAAAAGCTGACCAAGTGGGATTTTTTCCACATATGGAAGGCTGACTCAACAATGGGAAAGCAGTTAATCTAGCACATCACATCAATAGGCTAAAGAAAACAAATAATGTTTATGTCAATAGATGCTAAGCTATTGACAAAATCTGCCTTATATTCAGGATACAAATTCTCAGCAACCTAGGAATGGAGGGGAACTTCCTCAACTTGATAAAGAATATCTACTAAAACCTACAGTTCACATAATTAATGGTGAGAAACTAGATGCTTTCCCTCTAAGACTGGGTAAAACTCGAGAATGTCCCTCTCACCACTCCTATTCAGCATCGTACTAGAAGTCCTAGCTAATGGAATAAGACAAGAAAAGAAAGGAAAATGTGTACAGATTGAGAAGGAAGAAATAAAACTCTCTCTGTTTACAAGTGACATGATTGTCCATGTCGAAAATCCCAAAGAATCAACAAAAAATCTCCTGGAACTAATAAGCAATTATAGCAAGATTTCAGGATAGCAGGTTAATATGCAAAAGCCAGTTGCTTTACTGTTTACCAGCAGTGCACAATTGGCATTTGGAGTTAAAAATACAATTTACATTCACACCAAAAAAAATTACTCATATATAAATCTAACAAAATACATATAAGATCTATAAGGGAAACTACAAAACTCTGATTTAAAAAATCTAAATAAGGGGCACCTGGGCGGCTCAGTCAGTTAAGCAGCTGCCTTCGGCTCAGGTCATGATCCCAGGTCCTGGGATTGAGCCCTGCATCGGGCTCCCTGCTCGGCGGGAAGCCTGCTTCTCCCTCTGCCTGCCACTTCCCCTGCTTGTGCTCTCTCTCTCTTGTCAAATAAATAAATAAAAAATATTTTTAAAAAAATAAATAAAAATAAATAAATAAAAGATCTAAATAATAGAGAGATATTCCATGTTCATGAATAGGATTCAATACTGTTAAGATATCAGTTCTTCCCAATTTGATGTATAGATTAAATGCAATTCCAATCAGAATCCCAGCAAGTTACTCATGGATGTCAGCAATCTGATTTTAAAGTATGTGTGCAAAGACAAAAGACCCAGAGTAGCCGACACAATATTGAACAAGAGAGAAGTCAGAGGACTGACACTGCCCAGTTTTAAAATTTACTGTAAAGCAATAGTAATTGAGACTGTGTTGTTGGCAAAAGACAAATACACAAAACAGAACAGAAAACTCAGAAATAGACCCACACAAATATAGTCAACTGGTTTTAACAAAGGATCAAAGGCAATTCGGTGGAGAAAGGACAGTTTTCAACAAATGGTGCTGGAACAACTGGACGTCCACATGTTAAAAAAAAAACATAACAAAAAGAAACGAATCTTAACAAAGACCTTGCACTTTTCACAAACATTAACTCAAAATGGATCATAGATCTAAATGTAAAATGCAAACCATAAAGCCCCTAGAAGGAATCTGGCAGTAACTTCTGGGCACAACACAAAAGCACGGTCCGGGAAAGAGACAGTCCATGTTAGACTCCATGACAACCTCAGACTTCTGCTCTGCAAAAGATACTTTAAGAGAGTGCAAAGATTGGCCACGGACTGGCAGAAAATATTTTCAAAACACATCTGATAAAGCATCTATATTCCAAATATACAAAGAGTTCCTAAAAGTCAACAATAAAAAAACCAAATTAATTTAAAAACCAACCCAGTTAAAAAGTGGGCAGAAGATCTGCACAGACCCTCACAAAGATGTCATATGGTAAACGAGCATATGAAAGCCGTCCGACATCATGTGGCACTTGGGAATTGCACATTAAAACAAGGAGACACCACTCCCCGCCGATGAGCATGGCTAACACCCCAAACGCTGACCGCACCGGATGCTGGCGAGGACGTGGAGGAACAGGAGCTCCTGGTCACTGCTGGTGGGCACGCAAAAGGGCGCAGCCCTTTTGGCAGTTTCGTCAGAAACTCAACATGTAACTGCCCTGCAGCCCAGAAGCCGCATTCCCAGGCATTCATCCCGGAGAAATGAGACTTACATCTGCACAAAATCCTGCACATGAATGATTACAGCAGCTGCATTCAGAACAGCCCCAGACGGGACACAACCCAGATGTGTGGATGGTTGAACGTGCAGGGGTCCGTCCACACCATGGAATGCTACTGAGCAGTAAAAGGAACAGAGTGTTGATAAGGCAGCAACCTGGGTGCATCGCCATATAATTATGCTCACAGCAAAATGCCAATCCCAAAAGGTCACATATTGTATAATTCCATTTATGTGAAATGGCACAACCATGGAAACGGACAACAGATTCGTAGTTGCCAGGGATTAAGAACATGGCTTCGGGCAACCGGACACATCCTGATGACGGAAACGTGCTGTATGGTGATGGTGTCAATCCAGCATCCGGTTGGGATGCCGCCCTACAGTTTTGCAAGATGTTACTGTTGTGGGGAACTGGGTACAGGGCACACGGGATCTCTTTGTATTATTTCTTACAACTATATGTAAATCTATAAATCATCTCAAAATAAAGAGTTAAGTTTTTTTAAAGGTCAGTAAATATCTAGAGCTAATAATTCCCTCATTATGTGACTGTCCTGCACGGTGATCTGTGCTCCTAGCTGGTGGGGCCACTGTCCCCACCCCGTGCGCCCGCACCACCTGGGCAGCTTGGCGTTGGTCCCGTGGGAGCATTCATGCCTCGGAGATCGGCACACGCGGAGACCAGGTTTTGTCAGTTGTGTCGACCTCACAAAGTGATGAGGAAATGTTCACAGTGTGACTGAACGCAGAAGTGTGCCGTGTCTGTGGGACCCACCCGAGACCTTCAGCAGCCGTGGCCAGTGGCGGAGAGCCCACCCGCTCACCACAGCGAAGCTCCAACCAGGCCTTCCACATTCCACTTCCATCTCGCCTATCGCGTCAAATGAAAACACCCACCAGTAGGCGTGTGGCAGCCACCTGTCTGTCGCAGGCGGATTCGGATGCAAGAACTGGGTAAAATCCATGAGCACATCCAGGGAGATCCCTTGGCTCTCCGGAACTTACTAAACAGAAGTGTGACACCTTTCCTTATTTCTAAACTGTGTTGCACCGGGGACATTTAGAATAAACAGATGTGTGCACGTAGAGGCAGGTATTTTTGTTTAGAAGCCTGGGGTCTACCATATAGCAGCACCCCCACTGGTTCGGGGGCCCCTGACCTCAGACCCCCGAGCTGCGGCCTCCACCTGCCTGAGGACCCTGAAAGTGGGAGGGTCCCCGCTGAGACCTCAAGTCATAGCTGTTCACACTTCAGGGTGAAGACCATGGGTATTTGGTAAACATGCAGGCCCCAGGCCAGGCCCCTGGGAGATCTGACTCGGGGTCTAGCTGGGGCCTCCAAGCTCCAAGGAGGTGTGCGGCGGGGGTCCCCACAGGAGCAGCTGTCCTGCTAGTGCCCGGGGTGCCCCTGGGGGGAGCCCAGGGTAGGGAGGTGCTGCTGAGCAGGGCTGGGCTTTTCTCCACCCAGGCCTCCGTGTACTGTGTGGCCGCAGTCCTGTGGACAGCAGCCAAGTTCAGCGTCCCCCGAGACCACAAGCTGGCCCTGCCACGCAGGCTCAAGACCCTCCTCTTGGACATGGCCAGACGCAGTGCCCAAGAGCGGCCGTGCACAGCTGAGGCCATCAAGGTAACCACACTGCCATTGGGACCCCAGGTCACCATCCAGGGCCTGGGCGATAGCTGACAGAGTGCCCAGGTTCCTGTTCCCGGAAAAGTGGGCGTTGGACAGGGAGAGCCATGGGTTTCATTTGTGGACAGGTGGTGGACAGTGTCTGCTGCTCACTACCCTGGCCCCTGCCAGACCACCCGGGTGTCCCCAGTGCCTTCGCCCAGCTGGAGTGGGCAGGGGATGTCCTGGGGCCAGCCTGACCCCTGCCCATATGCCCTGCCAGCAGGGAGCAGAGTTCTCCCCAACGACCCAACTTCCCCCACGTCCTCCGAGGGCCCTCTCTCCTCCCCTTCCCTGACCCTCCCAAGAGCTGCACGAGTGTGGGGCGGTCCCGCGATTGGTTCAGTGATCGCGGGAAGGCCACCCCCGGAGGGAGAAGCCCTGTGCGGCCTTCTCTGCCCCGACTGCTCTGTGGCCTCAGGCAGGTTGCTTAACGGCTCTGGGCCTCTCTGGCCTGCTCAGCCAGGTACCGGTGAGCTCTCCCCATCTCACCTTCTCAAGAGAAACTCCGCAGACATTAGCTACAATGCTGAACCAGTTTACTGAGTAGCTACGGACGGATGGACGGACGGCAACGGAAGGAGCTTCGCTCCACTCCAGATCTGCACGGAGGCGGCTGGGTGTTTTCAGGGAGAATGAGGGACTGGGGAGGGAAGTGGCCATGTCCTCTGTCCCACGGACACTGGGAGCCTGGGGCCCCATCCTTCCTGAAGATCGAGGTTCAGGGCATCAGGTGTATCCTGGGTCGTAAGAGGCACAGACACCTCAGGGGCAGAGGAAGTTTCACAGTCGTGACCTTTGATAGTAAATGCTCTAAGGCGGGGAGGTCGCAGCCTCTGCCCGGAGTTGGCTGGAGCAAACAGCTTTCCAGACAGGAACCCAAGGGGTCTGGGCCGTCCCTACACTTGGGCCGCGCAGCCTCCGTGCAGAGCTTGGAGGGGGGCATTCTCTGCCGAGAGTTGTTTGTGGTTCTCACCAGCAGTCAGGAAACGGTAGAGGTGTCCATGGGGGGTGGCGGAGCCTTAAATGGTGGCTTAAGGGAAGAATCTTTATCTTCACATTCGGTACATCCATAACCCCAAATGAAAAATAGAAATTCTCATCGGTGACATTCTGTCCCCAAATATCAGAATGTCTGAGCTTGCAGAGGGTCAGTTTGTGGGGGTCAGCTGCATTTTCAGTGTCCACCCCTCACCCCAGAGCCGGCCAGCGAACAGCTCAACTGAGGGCACAGAAGGAACGGCAGACCGTGGGCCTCAAATCTGCCTAACGCCCCAGCACATGGCTCTGGGGCCACATCCACATTCACCCTGCAGGCAGCCACTGCCCTGTTGTCAAGGTCACAAAGGACCCAGGCAGCTGGGTCAAGTTGCAGTTAATCATAATTGTCTACAGAATTGTTCTCTTGCCTGTTTTTTAGGTTGCAGGCTGGGGGGCTGTTGTCTCGTCTGCGCATGGGGGGGCTGAGCGGTTCTGCCCTAATTCTGCTATGGGTCTTAACGTCTCCCTTTCTTGGAGTTCTTAGACGGACCGGCTGGAAAGGTCATGTGTCCTTGTGCCCCTCCTCTCCAGCCTCGGGGCCCCCGCCCCCGGAGCCTGAGGCTCGCCCCTCGCCCCTCCATGCGGGTGGCTGTCAGCGTGGCAGGGGCCTGGGGAGGGGCTGTGGCCATTTCTGTTGGGTCTTTATCCCTTCCACGTGGGGCCTGCTTAGCTCTCCCCAGAGAGGGACGCCTGTGGGGTCCTCCTGTATAGGAAGCCCCCAGGCCCTCCTCCCTGCCACCGAGCACTCTCTGAAGGGCCCCAGCCTGAGGTGCACGCCCCTCCACGTTTGGATGACACAGGGCCGCTGCCCAGCCTGCGGCATCGCAGGGCACTGGACACAGGGCCCATCCTTCTTGCAGATATGCAGCACTTACCTCCTCCAGCGGGGCATGGACAGCAGAAGGATCCTGGCTCACCTGAGGGCGTCCACCGGTAAGGTAAGTTGGGGGATTCCGGAGCAGGGGTGAAGACCCCTCCTCCTGCCCTGGGGCCCTGCAGAGATGAGGGTCCCTCCTTGCTTTTTGCTGTTCACTGTCCACGTGCAGTGAGTTTCGGAAAGAGGTGGTAACTTCTCCTTCGCTGTCAGAGGAGCTCCAGCTGGCAGCCCCGCCCTCTGCGGACGGCCTGGCGGTGTGTGGGGCGGGGGCCTATCCCTCAGAGTGACCCCCAGGTAGCCAGCATGGTTTGTAAATGTGCCTGCTGGCCTCCTGAGCATACGGACCCAGGCGGGGCCCTTGGATGGCAGACGCACACACAGTCCCCCCGGCAACCTGTGGGAGTCTGAGTTCTGAGAAGCCCAGGGTCTCCGATGGCGCCATAACCCTCCCAGGCCCTAGAAACCTCCCAAAACCTTGTTGAATTGGGAAGCAGTATGCCCAGAGCCCAGCTGCGTGAGTCACTGTGGGCTGGGGGTGCCACTGAAGGGTCAGGGAGTGTGCCCAGTGTCCAGTCTGCACCTCTGGGACCCTGGTGTCACCTTGACTGGGGCGGTCCGCGTCCTTCTGCCTCAGGTTGACCAGGAGGAAGAGACCATCGGCCTCCAGAATGCTCTCTCGGTGGTTGATCTGAACCCCAGCGCCCCCAGGCCCCGCTCAGGTGGGCCGCCAGGGCCCAGCGTCTCCTGTCCCCCAGCCCCACAGCCGCTCCCACTGCTGACCCCCAGCCCTGAGTGGACACCCACAGGCAGGCACCACTGGGCCCCAGAGCAAGGTGTCCGGAACATCCTGGAGGCCTTGCTGTTCACTCTCCTCCCCTGTTCCAGCCGCCCGGTCATGCTCGTGTCACCAGCCTCCAGGGCGGGTGGTGTGACCCCAGCATCCCTCCACTCTCTTCTCATGCCCACACGCACATCCTGCTGACCGGTTCCTGCCCTGTCTGGGCGGTAACCCCGTCCTGCAGCGGGAAGACGACCCCCTGGTCCTGTCTGTGGCCTCCGTCGCTCCTACCCTCCCCCACCCGGCCCCGCCCTCCCAGCGCCATCACCCTTGCCTCCGGCCCCCTCAGGTCTCTGGAAGGCCCCTTGGAGGCACGTGGCGGGGGCACAGCACCCGATGGGGGGGGAGGAGCCACCACATCTTTGTGGCAGAGGTGGGGGTGCTCCGGGGGTCTGCAGGGCTGGCCCACACCGCCTGCACTCACGCAGAGTTTATCCCAGGTTTTGTTCGGGTTGGCGGCGACACCAGGCTGGTGGCGGTGCGGGGGCCTGTGCCCTCTCAACCCCCCTGCTGCGGAGGGGCCACGGTGCTGCCAGCCACCTTCACCACCACAGCCACACTCTTCCAGCCCATCGTGCTGGCCGCAGATGCAGGTGACGCCAGGTGAGTGCCCCCGCCCCAGAGCTGGCAGGGTCCCTGAGCCACCCCCGAGTGCTCCCTCCTTCTCTCTGTGCTCTCAGGGACAGGGAGGGCGATGGGAAGCGGGCTCCCGAGGCCCATGGAGCCACCACCAGCCAGAAGGTTCCTGACCAACCAGTACCTGCTGCTGGACCACAGGGAGCAGCTGCAGAACCGCTCAGGGAGTCAGTGCCGAGAGACGCAGCCCAGGGGGTCCCCTGCACCCCACCCCCTGGCCCTGGGGGGGCTTCACCAGCAGTGCCCGAGTCTTCTACAGCTGCCCCACTCCTGAAGGCACAGGCACCTCCCGTGGAGCAAGGGCCAGACCAACCAGCCCCACCTAGAACCCCAGTGTCCAGTGCAGCCCACCACGACCCGAGTCACCCAGCCAAGCCACCCAGGACCAAGGCCACCGAGGGCACAGGCTGGAAGCCTCGGGGTCCCTCATCAGCCCCGTGGGACCCCTCCCTGGCCAAGGCAAGTCCAGACAGCCCCAAAGGCACCTCTGTCCCAGAACAGGATGGCCTGGCCCCAGACAGTCATCCCGAGCGGCCCCTGCCAGCAGACCACAAGCTCTGTCTGCCCGGTGTGGACGCCTCAGCCCTCCCGAAGAGGACAGCCTGCCCGTCGCTGCAGGAGGCCATGCGCCTCATCCAGGAGGAGTTTGCCTTCGACGGCTACTTGGACAACGGACTGGAGGCTCTGATCATGGGTATCATGGGGGGGTGGGCACAGGGTTCCCCAGAGAAGTCCCAGGACCAGGGGGAGGCTGGGGGGGACACAGTGCCCTGGGGGAGGATCAGTGTGAAGGGGGCCTGGGGCCCCCACTCATCCATCTGCATGAAGAGCTCGGGGGGCAGGGCTGTGCCCCAGGGGGTCGGCCAGCAGCAGAGCCCCAGGCAGGAAGAGGGTCTCAGGGCCTGGTCCCACTGCCTCGGCTTCCCCCCCACCCCGATCCCCAGCTGTAGAGAGCAGGGAACCCAGAGGGCATGCTCACCCACACAGTGACTGGCCGCTACCATTTTGCAAACCCAGGGGAATATATTTACGCCTTGAAAGACCTCACCTACGCCACTTTCTGTGGGGCCATATCAGAGAAGTTCTGTGACCTCTACTGGGGGGAGAAGTTGCTGCAGAGTCTTTTCAAAGTGGTGAACGGGAGGATGTCCCCCTCTGAGAAGTGAGTCCCCCTTGTCAGGCCCCAGGCTTCCCCCACCCTGGGGTCCCCTGCCAGGCCGGATGGCCCTGGTTCTGCCCCGTCTGGCCCCTGGCTGTGTTCCCTGCACAGCCTCCTGTGTCCCCTGAAGTCCAGCTCCCCACACTGGCCACCCACCCGGGTCCCGCTCACTGGGCCTGAAGCCCAGCCTAACCCACAGCTCTCCCTTTGGGCACTGGGCTCCTTTGGGCAGGAAGAGAGGGCTGTGGGCTCAGAGGACGTGGGAGGCACATCCCCGCTCCCCCGTGGGAGGCACATCCCCTGGAGCCAGCGGTTAGTGCAGGCTCCAAAATAACTACCAGCTTGAGGAGGCAAAGGGACCGGGAGCCCAGAGGGGCGGAGGCCCCCACAGGGAACAGCATCTGCCCCCCACTCAGTCATCCAGGTCGGCGCTGGGTGACAGCTCCCCTCCTAACAGCCGACATGGGGTGATGGCCGCTGGAGGACAGCCGGCTTCCCCCTCCCGGGGGCGGGACTGTGCCTGGACCCCGATGTCTTGACACCAGGCACACCCACAGCCCTGTGTCTGCCTCCAGTGGCCACACCGGCAGGTAGGACAGGGGGTCGCTTAGCAGTTGCCGTGGGAGCTATGGGGGCACCTTGCTGTGCTCCCCTCCTGTGCAGACAAGTCAAGAGAGCACCAAGACGAGCACCCCACCCCTCCCGCACCCCCGTGTTCTTGTCGCATGGAGAAGGGCCATCCAGGGACCTCCAGAAATGAAGGCCCAGGAAGCCCTGTGCCAATGATTTGGGCCCCTTAATTACTGTGGAAGGACGGTGTTCTGTACCAGCTGGTGGCCTGTGGTCGGGTTGTCCTTGGGAAGCTTGGATGGGGCCTCTGTCAAGTGGTGTGTGTCCGGGGTGCCAGGGCGGGGTCACTGGAGGTCCCCACCGCAGCCTCAGTGGGGCTTCTGCTCATCTGCTGAAAGTTTCCTGTTGGAAGGCAGTAGAGGTGGGGGGGCCGAGGGGCACCTGCAATGTCCTTCCTTCTGACAACAGTGCTTCAGAGGAGGCTGGGTCACAGCCCAAGGGCGGCACGGCCAGCACTCCAAGTGGCTGCTCACTGTCCAGCAAAAGGCCATCACTGCACGGAGCAGGTAAGAGACGTGGACTCTGGGTACAAGAACTCTCCACGGCGGGGCCCATGTTGACCCTCTTACAAGAGAGGCTCCCCTCTGCCCCTGGGGCCCCCCAGTGTCCCCTCAGAGACCCCAGAGTAGGGTTTGTGCTCCCCTGGGGGCTCTGTGCTGTGAACAGGGTTCTCCCAGGCCAGCAGGCGGGCGGCGAGTAGGAGCCCAGTGGGCTGGGGGCTGGGAGGGCGCTTCTGCTTCCTGGAATCACTGGCCAACAGCTTGGTGATAGGGGACTCTTTGCATCCTTCCTAGAAACATGTGCCATTTAAGGACTCTGAGCCTTATTTTCCTCGAATGTTACTGCAGGCTCCAAAATAACTGAAGTCTTTGTAGTTTCACAGAATTCCGTCTGAATGGGACATGGCTTTAGGAATCAGGCTGCATGACTATGATCACACATAATGGCCATTGGAGCAGGTGGACAGGCACCCTCCTCCCACCCTTTCCACCACGTGCACGCCCCAGGAAGTTTAGGAGCAAAGTGACTGTGCCCAGTGAGCCCCTCTGCCCCTCGGTCCAGTCTCGTTTGTGCTCCTGTCTGCACAAGCAGGTCACAAGCCCTGGGGTCTCCTCCCTGGACTCAGGCCCCACGGGACAGCCTGTGTTTGGGAGGGGATCTGAGGGACCCTCCCGGGACGCAGGACCACCGCCCTGAACTCTCTTGGGCCCCTAGAGAAGCAGGGGGCACCCGGCCGTCTCGAGGGGCTTCGCGTCCCCAACTCAGCACGAGCAGCCTCTCCGTAAACAATTAGTGATGGACTCTGCCACACGAACTAGAGTTCCGAGCGAAATCCTCCTCCTCTGTGCAGGGAAGGAGAAACTGACCACCGCGCGGGTCAGCCGAGCCCCCTGCCCGTCCCCGGCGCTGTCCGATGTGGACGCGGACGAACTCTCACGGGGTAACTTTGAGGTGGGATTCCGGCCTCAGAAGTCGGTCAGAGGCGAGCGGGAACAGCAGCAGGAGGCCGGAGAGCACGGGCAGCAGGGAGGGGGCCCGGGGCCCGAGGCGGTGGCCCAGCTGGCCAGGCCCAAGAAGGGGGCCCCGGCTGTGCACTCGGGCCCGGCCGAGCTCCAGAGCTGCAGTCCCGGCTGGTGCAGCGCCTTCTACGAGGCAGACTGCTTCGGTGCCGACGTCTCCAGCTACGTGAAGGAGCTGGTGAGGCAGAGAGCCGGCAGGGCCACAGACACGGACGCCCAGAGCCCGGTGAGTCCTGGGCCGCTGCCCACTGCTGGCCGTGTCGGGGAAGAGGGTGCCATGGCCGCAGAGGCGCCCTGGGCGGCAAGTCCCACATCGCAACAGGAGCTCCCAGTCACTCAGGCAGTGCGGGGGTGCGTCCAGAGCCCCTCCCTGCGTCCCACGTCTGGGCCCCCACCCACCACCAGTGACCCCCGCGCCCGTCTGGGCACCCTCCATGGGAGTACTGTGCTCATCTGCGTGTGTCCTCCACATTTCGGGAAGGACATGGCCTTTCTCTCTGTTAGCTGGGCACATGGGCGCCAGGTGACTGTTGGCCTCAGGCCGTGTCTCGGGGCTGGGCAGGCAGGTGGAGCCCCCTCCTCCCAGGCAGCCTCCTGTTCCTCGTGCCTTGCCCGCGGCGGTGCGTTTTCCAGCCTGACCCCGGGGTCATCTGGCCTGGGCTTCTCTGGTGGTCAGCGTCCCTCCAGCTAGGGCAGCCTACGCTTCTTCCTGTTCAGCAGGGCGAAAGGAGCCCACAAACTTGAGGGTGGCCAGGCCAGGCAGCCCCTGGGTGAGGGCACCCCACAGAGCTCTGGACCCATGGTCGCTGCCCCTGCCATTGAGCCCCTGCCCCCCATACCCAGCGGCTCTGACCTGGGCTGCAGCCTTCCCCTGTGACCAGGAGCCCCCACTTGGGCCTCGGCGCACAAGGCCTGACCCTCCAGGACAAGTCGGGAAAGACTCCATCAGTGCTTAAGCACTTCTCCTGATGAGTCTACCTGCCCGGCATGACACTTCCTCTGGCCTCCAAGGAGAAGCCACAGGACTGCAGCATCTCCCCAGCCCTGACAGCACCGTCCGAACCTTCCCCCAGGGACCTCCCTTGTTCACTTCCTGCTACTGCCTGAACTTGGCGTCCCTGCTCAGTCCCAAGCTGGAAAAAGAGCAGGGCCTTGCCCCCGGCCTGCACATGTGAGGATGGGGGCCATGCCCTGGGGACCCACCCTGCCCCTCCTGGCTTCATGCTGTGATCCCCTGCATGTGCCATCATGGGCACCAAACTACGGGGCCTGGCAGGGACCTCCGGTGGGGCCCTGGCACGGAGGGGAGCCCCCATGTAGGCTGTCAGGGCAGGGAGCACAGAGCTCAGACCACAGGGCAGCTCCATGCCACTGCATCAGAGTCCGGGGCTCCCAGCCCCTGACCGGCTCCTTCCTTCCGGGGGGGCCGGGGGCCTGCGGACCTCGCCCCCACTTCCTTTCCTGTAACGTGTATTTGCACACGATGAAGCTTACTTGGAGCTGCTAGATGTTCTCGCCCCAGCAGCTTTCTACCTGTGATGGCCTCTCCCAGCAGTGGAAAGTGAATAGCCTAAAAGAGGCAGAAAGCCACATCACACTCCCCATCGTGGGACCAGCGATGGGGCCGCAGCTCATGACAGCCCACCACACGCACGGGCCTCGTAAGCAGGAGTGGAACAGGTCCTCCACACCCTGGGCTGTCCTGGTGTTGGAGGGTCCTGAGGATCCTAACGTTCGTCACTGAGAAGGGCCCGTGGACAGTGAGTGCCATGACGCGGTTTCTGAGGGGGCAGTGAGGAACTAAAATGCTTCCCTGAAATACGCACCGCGCGTTTCCTAGTTGTGTAGGCTGAGGGCCTGGAAGCAGAGACGGCCCGTGCCAGGGTCCGGGTTCCAGGGCCATCCTCCAGTCAGAGGGACCAGGGCTCCTGGGAGAAATCACGGACCCCGGGACTGGGGCAAAACCGGTGACAATGAGCTGGGGCCATCTTGGACCAGAAAGTGAGGAAATGATTAAGAACCCATGATGGGGGCATGTCGAAGTTCAGAGGAGCCGGCTGAAGGGCCCCCAGCAGCCAGAGCAGTTTGAGAAGCGAAAGAAATAACACAGAACAGTGTTCTAACTCAGAGTGTGAAACATCCGCACGTCCACACTCGTACAGATCCTGGAGCTGAAAAGAGCAATGACCCAATGACGGCTTTCAACCAAGTAGAAAAACTCATCCTAAAATTCATACAGACTCTCAAGGGACCTCAACTAGCCAAACAATCATGAAAAAGAAGAACAGAAGTGGGCAACTCACACTTCTGATTTCAAAACCTGCTACAGAGCTGCCATTGTCAACAGTGTGGTCCTGGCATGAGGACAGATGTACAGAACAGGGCGGATAGGAGAGCCCGGAAATAAGCCCATAGTGAGATGATTTTTGGGAAACCGTCTGACCGGCCAGTGGGCCAAGGACAGTCTGCTGGGAAAACAGGGTGTCCCCCTGTGAAAAGATAAAGTTGGTCCTGTACCGCATGCCACTTCCAGAAATTAACTGAAATATCAGAGACCTAAACGTTAGAGCTAAGATTATAAAACTCATAGAAGAAAATGGGAGAAGCTTCATAACCCTGGACGTGGAAGTGATTTCTTGGATATAACACCAAAAGCACAGGCAACAAAAGTAAAAATAGAAAAATTGTGCTCGGGGCACCTGGGTGGCTCAGTCGTTAAGCTTCTGCCTTTGGTTCAGGTCATGATCTCAGGGTCCTGGGATCGAGCCCCACATCAGGCTCCCTGCTCCGTGGGGAGCCTGCTTCTCCCTCTCCCACTCCCCCTGCTTGTGTTCCCTCTCTCGCTGTGTCTCTCTGTCAAATAAATAAATAAATAAGTTCTTTAAAAAAAAGAAAAGAAAAGAAAAATTGTACTCAATCAAAATGCAGACCTTTTGTGCATCAAAGGACGCCGTCAACAGAGGGGAAAGGCAAGCCACAGAATGGCAGAAAACATTTGCAAATCATATATCTGAGAAAGGTTTAATTTCCAGAATGTATAGGGAACACAACAGCAACAACCCAAAAAGCCAGCTGAACAAGGAATGATGGACTTACATAGATGTCTCTCCAAAGAAGATACACAAATAGCCAAAAGCTCATGAATAGATGCTCAACATCACTGGTCATTAGGGAAAAGCAAACCAAACCCACAGTGAGAGACCACCTCACACATGGTAGGATGTCTCTTACCAAAATTTTAAAAAGAAGAAAGAAAATATCATGTTGGGAGGATGTGGAGAAACTGGAACCCTCGTGCATGGCTGGTGGAAATGTAAAATGGCGCAGCCACTCTGGAGTTTCCTCCAAAAATTAAGCCTAGATTTACCATGTAAGTCAGCAAGTCCACCTCTGGGTGTCCACCCCAAAGAGCTGGGAGGAGGTCGTCCGAGAGCTGGTTCACAGCAGCCCAAGTGCCCATCAACAGATGGATGGATGGAGATGGAGAGTATGCATACGGTGGGACAGGCTGGCCCCTGCCATGTCACAGAGGAGCCCCGAGGGCCTGACGCTGAGTGAAAGCCAGACACTGAAAGACCAGGACTGTGTACCCCACCTCCATGAGGTCCCTGGAGTCACCGCGTTCACAGAGACCACACGGGGGCAGGGGATGGCGGCTGATCGGGACAGAGCTTCCCTCCTGTAAGATGGACACGGAGGGTGGGGATGGTTGTACAACGGGCTGAGTGTGCTTCATGCCACTGAACAGCACGATGAGAAATGGTTAGAATGGTAAATTTTATGTATATTTTGTCACAAAAATTTTTTCAAAATAAAAATGTAAAAACTAGTTGAGAGCGGGGCACCTGGGAGCGCCGTCAGTTGAGCGTCCGACTCTCGGTTTCAGCTCAGGTGGTGATCTCAGGGTCGTGAGACCGAGCCCCACGTCGGGCTCCGCGCTCAGCAGGGAATCTGCTTGGGACTCCCTGTCCCTCTGCTTCTCCCCACTGTGCGCGCATGTTCTCTCTCTCAAATAAATAAACAAATCTTTTAGAAAAATAGTTGAAAACAAAACAAAGGAGAGGATGACCCTTGGCCTTGGGAACTTGAACCAATGCTTACAGATGTCATTCTAGTTGAATCCACGTGAACGGAGAAGAGACGGAGGCAGCATCCCCTCGGAGCTTCCTTTGCCCTCAATCCGTGCGCACCGCCCCGCCAGCATGCTGTTACTCTAACCGCCAGCTGGACCAGGAGACAGGAGCCCCGCTGACCTGGGAGCAGGGAGGCTGGGGGCGCCCACGCCCCAGTAACAGAGGACGTGGCCCTTTCAGAGGCAGAGCTCACTGTGTCCACACCGACTTCCCCAACAGCTTAATCCGAGAGTTGTGGGGAAGGGGGGTTGGTAAGAGTCCAGGTGTGTCCTCCAATGTCATAGGTCGTCCCCTGACATCACAGGTCGCGCCTGCTGACTATAGTCACATCCTTAGGATGGACGGCTGTGGACAGACTGCCCTGTTGCCAGCCCCTTGTGTTCAGCAGAGGGCGGCTCTTGTGCGTGTGAGAGCCTGCTGTAGGCTGACGGGCCCTTAGTCCTGTGCTCTCCTCGGTGGCGGCCCCTTGCGGGAAGATGCTCCCACTGGTGCGCCCGGGTCACCCCTGCACCATACTCAGATTGTTCTTGAAAGTGGGCCCAGAGGCCAGCTCAGACCAGAAGCGTGCCGGCGGCCAGTGGCTGCCCTGGTGTGGACCATGACCCTGCGGTTGGGACGGGGTGCCCTGGGCCTCCCATCTCTGAAACAGGCTCGGTCCCACAGTGACTCTGCGGTCACTCTGCGGGGGGCACAGTCGGGAGGAGGCAGGCGGTTTGAGGGACGCTGTGGAGTGACCCGGAGTGACCCTGTTTCCCTTTTGTTCCTGCTTACCTGGGGAAGACGTCCCTCCTGGAACCGGAATGCAGACAGGTGAGTTTCCTGCGCCCTCGCCTGCATGGGGGGGCGTGCGGCTGGACGAGGGCGCCGTAGTTTCGCGTTCCTCTTTGAGAACCCGCCGCGTCCATTTCGGGCAAACTCGAAAGGTGTAAAACAACTATTGGTCACACTTTCACACTCACTACCCAAACCGAGCGGGTGTGAGGCAGGCCCAGGCGCTGGGGTGGGCAGGGCGGCTGGGGGGCACCGGGTTCCCTCCATTGGTCACCGAGCGCGCGCCCACGTGCCCCGCGCACCCGCCGTGAGTGTGCGCTGGGTGCCCGCGTCTCCTCGTGCCGCACCCCAGGCGCCCGGGCTGTGAAGCTGCCCCGAGGGGTTTGGTTGCCCTTCACCGGCTGTTAAGACAGGCTTTGCTTTCAGTATTTAGGTGAGTGGTGCTGATTTTGGCTCCCCCCTCTTTTCTGTCTTTGTCTGTAAGTTCTGGCTTTCCTGCTTCCTTCCGACTGTGGTCCTCTTTGACCCCAGCACTGGCCAGCTTTCAGGCCCGTGTCGACGGAGAGGGCCATGTGTGGTTGTGCCTCAGATCATCCACATTTACTTCTCTCCCAATTCTATGGGGGAAGTCCTTCGTTGGGTTAGGCCAGGGGAAGCACCTCAACGCAAAGGACCCTAAGGATTTTATTTAGACCTCGCCAGTCCGAGTCAGCTGTGGTCGGCTCTGCTGTGCTTCTGCCAAGTATGGTCGTTGTGAAGCCCTGCTCGTGTGTGTCTTCTCCATTACCCCATCTTGTGTGGAGTTTAGTTCCCATAGATTTAGTTTTAAAATCAGTCAGAACAGTCCTGGAGTCTGTGTGAGCCCTCCTTTCTGGCAGGGAGCAGGTGTGTCCCACGGGCCCTCTCTGGGGGGAGGGGTCTGGATCAGCATCTGGACAGTGTGCGAGGGGGCGACGGGGCTGGACAGAGCCTTGTGCAGGGTGGCCTCAGAGAGTGCCCTCTCCCTGGCGGTCCTGAGCTGCACAAAAGGAGAGCCCTGGAACGCAGCGCTCGGGGCCGTCCTTCCCCTCTTCAGGCTTTGGGGGATGTCAGCCAGGGTCATGGCGTCTTCAGAGAGCCAGGATTAGGGGCGCCTGGTGGCTCCATCGGTTAAGCGGCTGCCTTTGGCTCAGGTCATGATCTCAGGGTCCTGGGATGGAGCCCGGTGTCCAGCTCTCCGCTCAGTGGGGAGTCGGCTTCTCCCTCTCTCTCAAATAAATAAATAAAATCTAAAGAAAAAAAGGAAGGGAGGGAGGGAGGGCCACAGAGAAGCATGCGTGGATGGGACTGCAGAGACCCTCAGCCTTGCTCGAACCAGACCTCCAGAGGGCGGAGATGAGTCCATCTGTGAGCACAGCTCTGCGGGGTCACCTATGTGTGCTGGGGTCAGGGTTTGTGCCCTCCCACAGGACTGTCCTCCGTGATGACACATTCCAGATCCGTGCCACACCCGGGTAGCCACCAGCCATGTGTGGTTGAGCACTCGAGGTGTGGCCTACAAGACAGAGGAATTGACATTTTCATGTCCTTTTAATACTGCAGCCGCCACACACGGCCAGTGGCTCCCACGTCGGAGGCGCGTGTAGGTCCTGCACACACAGTTCTGCCCCACACGCCCTGGGCGCTCATTCTGTCCCCCACCCTGACGACCAGCGACTGGGTCCTCGGGCCGACAAGCCGGGAAGGCAGGTTTGGAGCCAGGGTGTGCAACGTCAGATCCTCACTCCCCTCACACACAGTCCCAGCCAAAAGATGTCTCAGCAGCTTTGGGGCAACACGAGCTGTGCTCAGCAGGCTTCCTCCCCAGACGTCTGCCTCACGTGGGGATCTCGCTGTGCTCAAAATCAGCATTCTCCACGCCTGTTTCCACGGAGAGAGACTGCCTGCCGTCCCAGTGTGTGACACCCCCACCCTCTGCAGCTTGCACGTGACCCAGCTGGAGAAGGACCTGGAGGCCTTGGGGGACCTGATTCAACAACAGAGACGTGGGAGAGGAAGGTGGTTCTGTGTTCGGTCTGCACCACGTCCCCCAAAACTGGCACAGCCCCTGCTCCACAGCTGCCCCAGGCCTGAGGTTCCTACCACCTGGCGTGGCCATCTGCTACCCCGCTGTTAAAACAGAGGCATGAGGGGCGCCTGGGTGGCTCAGTTGGTTAAGCGACTGCCTTTGGCTCAGGTCATGATCCTGGGGTCCTGGGATCGAGTCCCACATAGAGTCCCGCATCGGGCTCCCTGCTCGGGGGGGAGTCTGCTTCTCCCTCTGACCCTCCCCCTCTCATGCTCTCCCTCTCTCTCATTCTCTCTCAAATAAATAAATAAAATCTTTAAAAAATAAATAAAATAAAACAGAGGCATGAGGAAGAAGACAGCCACATGAACCACCTTTTCAGTAAAACCATCAGATAGAAGAGATTCCAATATTTAAATAAAAACACCACCTGCATTTTTAATTTCACAAAATTGTACAGAAATAAGTGCTACCAACAAAGCAAAGTCCCTTGTTGTAGTTAGAGGAGATCAGGGGAAAGCTTGTTTGGGTTTGAGCTGATTAGAAGTGCCCAAACGAAGACTGGAGTGTGTTTGGCTTTCAGATTAAGGCTCCTATCAGCGTGGCCATTTCAGGGCCCTGGGGCCACCTTGAGCCCTGCTACCAGGAAGTCATTTCCCTGGGAGTCTGAGAGGTCCCCGGGCCTCTGCCTCTTCCTCTGGCCCCTGGCCCTAGCCAGGTCCCTCACTGTGCCCACCCCACACCTACCCTCCTCCCCCAGGGACAGGCAACCTCACAGCCCCAGCTGAAGACCCGCAGGAGCTCCAGGCCCCCTCCCAGGGACCCAGCAGGCTTCCAGCGCCCTCACCGCTCCAGACTCACAGCCCTCCTCAGCCCTGGACCCTGCAGGGTTGGGGGCAGTAAGCCAGGCTGCATCTGTCTGCTCCTTCCGTCAAGGGAGGAGCCATGTCTGGGTTCTGGCATTTCTAACACTGGCTGCCCTGAGCCTGCCCTCCAGCCTCGAGGGTTTCCTGGTCCCTCTGGGTGAGAGAAGAGCCCAGACCCACCTCACTGGAGGACAGAGCTGGGGGAACTTCCCCCCACCCCAAGCAAGCTTGTGGACCCTCCTGGGAGATGCACATTCTCCAGGAGGGAGCTGGGGCCCCTGCTGCTGGGCACCCTCGCAGACTGTGACGCCAAGGAAGCCCCGCTGGCACCGCGGCTCTCTGGACTGCCCGCGAGCAGCAGGGGCCACGCGTCCTGGCCGCTGTCCCCGCGCAGCACCGCCAAGGGGCCCCGGTGGGAACGGGGGCTAGCCAGCCTGAGTCTGGGGCAGGGACTCCGCGCGGGGATCCCTCGGCGGGGGGCGGCCACGCAAGCCAGGCAGACGGGCAGCCGGGCAGCCGGGCAGCGGGCCTCACGTGGGATCCCCACCCTCGGGGGCCCAGGTGAGGGGACGCGGCGTCCCCGGCGGTCGTGTGGGGGTCCTGCAGGGGCCTCGAGGGGCAGCTAGGGCCTTCGGCTGGGCGGGGGGCCAGAGGGGGCCAGGGAGGCCAGAGGCGCGGGCCAGCCCCCCGTCCCCCCAACCAGGCAGAAGCGGTCCTGGACACCTCTCCAGAAGGGCAGCTCCTCGGTGGGCCAGGGCGGGGCCCAAGCCGCGGCCCCTGAACCCCAACCCCCTCCTCGTGCGGGGCCCTGGCTTTCCTGGGCTGGGGGACGGTCAAGAAGCCGGGACAGGCCACTAGCTGCCTCAACGGTTTTCTGCCCTCATTGTTTTAAGTGGCTCAATGGGATCTACTTTGCAAATACCAATTTACTGAGATATTATCTTTGCCCCCAGTTCTGTTGACCTTCATAATAAAACAGTTACTTTACCAGAAAAACAGTTTATTCAGGAAAGCGGAGAATTGCAACATACAAAAGCAAACTAGGGCAAAAACCACAGGCGAGACCTGGGAGTAAAGAGGAGGCTCTTTTATAGGGGGTAGTTGGGGCGCCTGTTGTAAACTAAAAGTCCATTGGAGTAAACTGGGGGCTGCATTGGCTGGGCCCTGAGCGTCTCTCATTGGCTGGGCCCTGAGCGTC